TCAAGCACCAGTTTGGAGTGTTCTACTTCTGATCTGGCTCTCAGCCTAATGTGCCTTGGAAGGCACTGGAAGATGTCCGAAGTGCCTGCGCCCTGCCACCTGTTTAGGAGCCCCAGAGGGAGATGAGTCTCCTGGCTCCAGGCTGACCCAGGCGGCCACTGGGGCTGTTTCAGGAGTGAACCAGCACATGGAAGATCTCTTTATCTCTCCCCGTCTATGTCACTCTGCCTTTCAAATAAACAGATCTAGAAAAAGCAAATTCAAATTACAAAGCAAAAATCATTTTTAAAAGTGATACAATAAAAATGAGCCAAGAAGGGCTGCTTTCTTCTTTCGTAAATTGGTGACCTGCATGGAGAAATGATGTTTCCTTAGTCTTCTTCAAGAGGTTGCTATACTATTTACCTTCAATCACAGGATCCTAACCTGGCAGCTCCAATGAAACTAGGTTCAAGGGCATATTTAGCCTACAAGTTAGGAATTCTCACCTTCACTGGGACAATGAGCTCTTACATTCTGTTTGGGCACCAACAATCTGAAGCCTTGACTTCATATTTTACCTTAGTGTAAGTGCAATGGGACAATAAAAGATATACAACCACCCTCATATGAATGCACCAAAATATCATACAACTTCATAAATTTATGGTATTGTAAAATGATAAATTTCATTTTTGATGTCAAAACATTCTAAGGAATGGCACTTGGCACAGTGGTTAAGCTGTCGCTTGAAACACCCTCAGTGTATTATCAGGGAGCCCAATATCTGAGTAGATTTCAGGATTCCTAAGTTCATCTCTGCTTTCAGCTTCTTTGTGCGTGTGTGGGAGCCACCACCTTGAGTCTCTTCTACGCATGTGGGTGACTGAATTCTAGTTTCCTGGTTTTGTTCTGGCCCAAGCCGAACTGTTGTACATCTCTGGAGAGTGAATCAGCGGATGAACATTCTGTCTCCTTCAAATAATTAAAAATAAATTTAAGAAATAAAATATTATGAAGAACACTGCAGATGCAGAACTGCTCCCGAGTAAAACAGTAAAAGAATAATATTCACAATAATATGCTACCATGTTAGTGATGACATTATCTTAAATCAGCAAAAATTGGTCATTGCTAGATTACTTCTGTTACTCTGAGTAACACAGTTCTATATAATGTTCTTATAAACAAAGGATTAACTCGAGACTCCTGAGGGTTGAACGTTCCCTCTCGGACTCTATTGTTTTGTTCTTTTTTTTCTACCGGAAAGTAAGATTTACAGAGAGAAGGAGAGATAGGGAGAAAGATCTTCCATCTGCTGGTTCACTCCACAAGTCGCTGCAACAGCCGGAGCTGAACCAATCTGAAGCCAGGAGCTTCTTTCGGGTCTCCCACATGGGTGCAGGGTGCCAAGGCTTTGGGCTATGCTCTATTGCTTTCCTAGGTCACAAGCAGGGAGCTGGATGGGAAGTGGAATAGCTGGGACATGAACCGGCACCATGTGAGATCCTGGTGTGTGCAAGGCCACTAGGCTATTGTGCCAAGCCCCCTTCTTGGACTCCTACATGCACACTAGCTTTCCTGGTGCTAACAATGATGTGCTCACCATAAAACAATCTTAACTTCGGCGCTTGAAAGGGGCTGCGACTGAGTATCACTGTTGCCAGTATCAAGGTAAACTAAGGCACACGGATTACAGGATTATAGGGCGCCGATGCTTTCTGGGAATCTGACACATGCTAGCTCGTTCTCAGAGAACTCCACTGAGCATGACTTCCTCTTCCTTACAGGCCAGTCAAGTACTTGGCCAAGATCTTAACCGCTATTACGAGGCATAGCAAAGGAGGGATAAACACCTGCTTCTAGAATTCATTCTCCTGAAGGCCATGCTGAACTGTCTGCTCAATTCAAGCAAAGATCTCCTACCAGATGTACACTTCAGAGACAAATGAATCAAAGGAAATGGACAGGAGGTCTCAGAACCAGGAGACCTGTAACATCGCCTAAGTCATTTCTTAGACCCTCATTATTAGCTTGTTTCCAATTAAAGCACAATGCAGAAAAAGCAGTTGTATTTACTCAATTGATGCTTTCATCTTACATTCCAAGGCTTAGTTAAGTCACAGACTTTGTATGTCCAAATGTTTCATTACTAATTGTGACAAAAAAATATGAGTTTCTCATTCCTTTCTACGTATTTGCATTTTATTATTATTATTACAAATCATAGGTATATTTTTGCTGGGAATATCTTTAATCTTCCCTTTCTAATATTTACAGTCAATACACCTTCAAAAGTTAGCGTTTGTTTGTACCAGTTTTCTTATCATCGGTATGTCTTCACTATCATTCACTGCAGCTTTGCATACTAACCTGAAACGTGCACGTGCCAACGACCACAAAGTTATTGCCACCATACGCAATTAGGTTTCCCGAATCCCCGCTCTCGAAGGGATTAAATTCCACCACGTGTACATAATCTTCACACTCCACGGTATAGGTAGCATTTCTTGTGACATCTTGCTTCATCTTGTATGTCCGAACTCGAGCAGATACAAAAATAGAACCTCAATCTACTGGAAAACATCACAAAACTGTGGGTTACAGGCCAGAAACAATTATAACAGCCAACATGTTACTCAGCAATGAACCCAAATCAAATTATGGCATTGTAAGAACAACCCCCCCGCCCCCCAAAAAAACCCCTAACATTTTGAAGTTTCGAACAAACACTTGCAGGAAAAGCTGTTCCATGTAATGATGAATGGCTCAAGCCTTGCTGCACAATCTTTCTTCAAACTTACACTTGTAATACATATCCACAAGAGATTAATACCACAGGAATCCTGTGTACCTAGATGACATCCCGAGTATTTGAAAACGGAACCATTTTAACAGAAAATATATTCGTCAAAGTCAAGCGTTCTTCACATTTAGGGGGCACTGTTCTGAGTATGTTAAACGCTGTGCTGACAGCACCGTGGGTTACACCTGCATCCCCGCCCCCTTCTCTTGAAAATTACATCCAACCCGAATTAAGAGTTGTCAGGGATAATGATGAACTCAGTCACCAAAACATAAAGTGTCTGCCGTTTATCTTCCACTTTTTGGGGTTTATAAAGCAGTCACCTCAACGAATGAACAGCAGGGACTGCACACCTGTTCGGGGGGGTGACTAGCTGTGCATGGGGGCCACAGCACGACGGGAAGTGCCTGAGACTCGGGGGACAGGAGACTGGCCCCGGCGGCTTACCTAACCTTCACAGGGCAGCGCCCTGGACCACTGCGTCCTCAAGGGTCGCCTGGACCAGGCGGACTGGACTCGCCTCTCTCCAGAGCTGGGAGGAGGGAGGGACAAAGTCCCGGGAGGCCCCGCTGCCACCTCCTTGATCCTGAGGCGGGAGGGGCAGGCCACAAGCCAGGAAGCGCGGCGCCTCGGGACCCCCGCCCGATACGCACCGCACAGCTCCGGGGAGCCCCCCAAAAGCCACCTGGTCTCCGCGCTGGGTGGCCGCGGCGTGCGCCGGCTGCGCTTCCGGGTCGGAGGGCGAGCGCAGCGATTGGCTCCCGGGCCTGCCGCGAGATTTGAAATGGAACGGGCTCTGGAGGAGCCTTGGGGCCGCAGCGGGGGACTCTGCGCCTGCGCAGCGCCGGGAGCCAGGTGAGTCTGGATTCTTCTGGTGCTTAACCTGTCCCACCTGGAGTGATGATTTAGGCTGCTGCAGGCCGGGCTATTTGGGAGACACGCAGGTGCCATGTCGCCGTGTACGGTGTTCTTGGAGCTTGCTTGGTTCCGGGGCTTTATGGGAAGGTTCTGAGGGGTCGTCGGTTCTGAGGCTCACGGATGCTCTCGTTTGAGCCCGTACCACAGGTCGGGATTCAGAGTTCTAGCGTCCACCTTCTCCACCCTCCGGGATCGTTCCGTAACTGCCTCAGGTCCCTGCCATGACTGCCAGTGTTCGCTGAGCGCCTACTTATCGCTTAGCACCGTGTTAGCCCATTTCGCCCCACGTCCCATTTATTCTAGGAGATTGGAACCACGTTTCTGCTCTCCTCAGAAATTTTAAATACGATGGGGTGTGCCTCCAGTCCATGGGAGGGAGAGAGAGAGTGCTGAGTGGGGAAGGTGTCTTTCATAAATCATCTCACCTTGCAAGTTCTTGTTTGAAAGATAGTCTCAGGTACAAGGCTGCCAGACAAGCTCAGCGAAAAGCAAAGGCTGAAGGGCCAATGGCAAAGGGAGACCAGTCCCAAGGTTCCAGAGTCTCTCCTTACAGAATGGCTTGCTTCCTTGCGGGGGGGGGGGTGGGGTGGGGTGGGGTGGGATGCTGTCTGTGAGGGACACTCCGAAGGGACTCCGTGCATTGATTTCCAGTGGGTGCTGAACAGGCGTCGTTTGTGCATCCACTGAATTCCAGGGGGGAAAGCAAGGATTTGACAGAAAGTACCTTTGGCTTCAAAGGATACGGGGCATTCCTGCCTGTTAGTTCTTCTACATGGATGTCTTCAAACCCTAACTTAGAATTCTTGTCCTGCCGTTGTCACCACATTGTGCTGGTCACATCGAGTCACAAGGCTGGCCCAGATTCAGAGGGCTGGAAGAATAAAACACTCTTTTGGGCCGGTGTAGAAATTGTTTTTATTTTATTTTATTTTATTTTTTTCTTTTGCTAATCCACCACAGATACTACCTCTACTTCCAAACAAAAGTTTTCAAATACAACTTTAATTAGTTTTGTCTGGATCTGTGATTTGCAGAATTTACATGCCTGTTTTGTGTGAATTTTCAGAATTGGAGGTTGGATGTCATTATTTCAAAAGATTTGGCTTAAAAAAACTAAAGAGGAAAATATGATTGGGCAGAAATTGTATTATTCTGTTTTGCTAAACTTAATTAAAAGCAGTCTTGGTAAACATTGGAGTGACCTCTAGTTCACTGCTTATTTTTCTCTAATTGTGCCTGCTTACACATGTTCAATGTTAATTTCCAATTAAAACAAGGCACTCTAACATGGTATTCTTTCCTGCTTTGAAGAATGGCTGTGTCTCACCAGGACTCTGTCTTGGCTATGATTAAGGAGTTCAGAAGGAATTGGCGCGCTCTGGGTAATTCTGAGAGAACCACTGTGTGTGGCGCAGACTCCATGTTGTTGGCCTTACAGCTTTCTATGGCGGAGAACAACAAGCAGGTTGGTCAACTTCGTTTAGGTTAACTGAATTTTTTTTTAATCTGAATTTCCTGAATTTGATGTCACTGTTTGAATAAATTTCAGCTTAAGTATATCAATTTTTTACAGTGTTGATACTACATGATTTTCACAATGAATTGCCTTTGCATATTTGTGTCAAAATATTACACTTTCAAAATGAAGCCTTCGTGTGCTTAATGAACACAGGACATGCACGTAGGATGTTTCATGGGAAGTGCTTAATAGTTACTTGCAACTACTATGATAGCTGTGGCTCAGAATTATGTCTGTTTAAATAAGACATCCTTTGTTTCCTAAACTAAATTCACAAAGGTGAATATAAGTATTTTAATATTTTAGGTCTAGTTTCAGACTCTGTGGGTAAGTGTGTATTAATTGGTAGATCAGACACTCAACTCAGGAAGTATATGATCTTAAAACAAGATAACTTTTCTCACACATGGATAGCAGGCATATTTAAAACAATATAAATTAAGATAGACTTTAAACATAGAGAAATTTGGCAAAATATTATATTAATTTATGTAGTCTTTCATTCTTACATCGGATACCTATTGAGTTTTTATTATGTGTTATGAATTATTCTGGACATTAGGAATATAGCAAGGAAAGAAATCTTTGCATTTTTGGATTTAATTTTCTAGTGAGGAGATGCAGGTAATGCTCTTTTTTTAATGCTAAATTTATTTTATTTTTGATGATGTTTACATAGTTGAGAAAGATGCATGTTTATGTGGGCCACCAACTAGGGTGGAGAGGGTTGAGGAATGGGGCAAAGTAGATGAGACAACTGTTTCCACTCTTATTTCTTATAACTGGGGAAAGTAGGGGAAGGGGGATAGGGCCATCCCTGCAGCCCAACCACATTAGTACCTGGGAAAGGGGGACAGCCACCAAGGTCATCCCAGGGACCCCAGTGTGGAACATGTTCCGAGGATACTGCTTAAGTGATTTTCATAGTCTGAGAAACTGACGTTATTGCTCCACAGTTGAGGAAATCCTTCCGAAGTCCGTTGACTGACATAGTCCCGTTAGAGTTTCCACTTGCCCAGATACTTGATATCAAGATTTGACCATTAGAGCTGTCTAGTTTGTTCTGCCCTCCATGATACTAGACCCTCTGCAGGCTGTAATGAATGGTTGTCATGTCCCCCACGTGTCTGTTGCATTCCTGTAGTCTTCTTCAATGTGGATTAGCCTTTCTGCTTCAAGCCTGGCATTTTCAGGAGTGAAAGTCATTTATTGTGTAGGGTGTCCCTCAAAATGGGTTGTTTTTATTCTTTTTCTTGTGTGTGTTACATGTTTTTGACAGAAGCAATGTAGAAATGAGGTGTCTCTTGGCTGCATTGTATTGGGAGGAACTTAATATCATTGGTTTCTTTACTGGTGATGTGTCACCTTTCACTTGATTGAGTTCAATTCATTCAGTCCACCAGACTTCTTCAATATAAAGGGGACTTTATGGTACTTGCATGTTAAGCCAGGATTTGTGATGTCTTACATACCAGTTCAAGTCCCATCTGCTCTCTCTGATCCAGTTCCCTTTTAATGTACTTGGGAAAGTAGTGGACCACAGTGCAAGTAGAACAGGTCTCTCTCTCTATATATATACCTTTCTGATAAAAATAAATATATAAATCTTTTTTAAAAAAAGTGGACTTGCGGGCCCGGCGCGGTGGCGCAAGTGGTTAAGGTCCTCGCCTAGCACGCCCGGGATCCCATATGGGCGCCGGTTCTAATCCCGGCAGCCCCGCTTCCCTTCCAGCTCCCTGCCTGTGGCCCGGGAAAGCAGTCGAGGACGGCCCAAGGCTTTGGGACCCTGCACCTGCGTGGGAGACCCGGAAGAGGCTCCTGGCTTCGGATCGGCATAGTATCGGCCCGTTGCGCTCACTTGGGGAGTAAATCATCGGATGGAAGATCTTCCTCTCTGTCTCTCCTCTCTGTATATCCGCCTTTCCAATGAGAAAATAAAAAAAAAAAAAAAAAAAAAAGTGGACTTGGTCAGCCACAGACCTTGGGAAGATTTTTTTCAACTCAGATGTAACACAATCAACATCTCAACTACTGACACCACTTAACTTAGCATCCTTGGACATTGTTTCCCACATCGGGGTCTTTAAGGTGTCATCAAATGACTGTCCCCCAACCTCTGGTGCTGATGTCATTAGACAGCAAGGAGCAGCTCCCTCCGCTTCCCCATCTGCAGACATGGGGGAGGATTAAAAAAAGAAAAAATCCTGAAATATCTTTCCCATACACCTTCCTTCAGATGTTGACCCGCCCAACCCTAATTGCAGGTCACACAGGTGTGCATCCCTTTCAACTATGTAAATGATATTAAAATAAAAAAAAATACTTACATAGTCACAAACTAGATCTATATAGGTTATTCAGTAATAACAAAAAGGAATAAAGTTTTGTTTTTTTTTTTTTAAAGATTTATTTATTTATTGGAAAGTCAGATATACAGAGAGGAAGAGAGACAGAGAGGAAGATCTTCCGTCGGATGATTCACTTCCCAAGTGAGCTCAATGGCCGATGCTATGTTGATCCGAAGCCAGGATCCAGGAACTTCTTCCAGGTCTCCCACACAGGTGCAGGGTCCCAAGGCTTTGGGCCATCCTCGACTGCTTCCCCAGTCCACAAGCAGGGAGCTGGATGGGAAGTGGAGCTGCCGGGATTAGAACTGGCTCCCGTATGGGATCCTGGTGCATTCAAGGCGAGGACTTTAGCTGCTAGGTTATGCCGCCAGGTCCAGGAATAAAGTTTTTTTTAAAAAAAGAGATAAGATGGGGCCCAACATGGTAGCCTAGTGGCTAAAGTCCTTGCCTTGCATGTGCTGGGATCACACATGGGCACCAGTTCATGTCCTCGCTGCTCTGCTTCCCATCCAGTTCCCTACTTGTGGCCTGGAAAAGCAGTCAAGGATGGCCTCAAGCCTAGGGACCCTGCACCCATGTGGGAGAACCAGAAGAAGTTCCTGGCTTTTGGCTTCAGATCGGCTCAGTTCTGGGATTGTGGTCTCTTGGACAATGAACCAGTGGATGGAAGATCTCTCTGACTCTCCTCTCTGTAAATTTGCCTTTCCAACATAAATAAAATTTTTTTTTTGTTTTAAAAAAAGAGAGCAGTAAGATTTATTTGGGCCCTGTGTGGTAGTGAAGTGATTTAAGTCCTCGCCTTGAACGTGCTGGGATCCCATATGGGCACCAGTTCTAATCCCAGCAGCCTCACTTCCCATCCAGTTCTCTGCTTGTGACCTGGGAAAGCAGTCGAGGACGGCCCAAAGCTTTGGGACCCTGCACCTGTGTGGGAGACCCGGAAGAGCTCCAGGCTCCTGGCTTCGGACTGGCTCAGCACCAGCCATTCCAGTCACTTGGGGAGTGAATCATCGGACGGAAGATCTTCCTTACTCTGTCTATATATCATGTCTAAGTGTTTGGGCCCCTGCCCCTTAAGAGGGAGGTCTCAGATGAATTCTGGTTTTTTGACTTTGGCCTTGTCATGACTTTTGTGTGCTGGTGGGCATTGGTTGATACCAGTAAGCCCAGGTCAGATCTGCTATGTGGGTGTATTGGTTCGTCCCTGAAAGTTCATCTGGTTTCCCTCCTCTGAACCACCTGGTCTTAGTCCCCACATTTACCTGCAAGTGCAATAGACTGGTAGGTGGAAGTCCTTGAAAAGCCACTCCTCTCTTACGACATTCTCCCTCGGCCAACCTCAGTCACATGCATCTCCAGACCCACTTCCCTGAGCAATCCACAGCCCTCCGATGGCCACAAGCACCTGCAGTCCGAGCCTAATCCTCCTGTGTGTGCCATGCCATCCTGGGGGCTGCCTGTATACCCAGGGCCCATGCAGATTCATTCATGGATCCCCAATCCTGTTTGTACCCCATATAACTTAAAGAAAAATAGAATAAGCAGCTGTGCTGGCACACTGGTATGGGTAGCATGAATTTGGCATTAACCAGGTCCAGAATGCCCGATAGCTATTAGGTGCTTTTCTCCTGGAAGTGTAACACGTGCCTAGGTACAATGCAATCTAGGCAGTTGCCTATGGCTTGCCAAAATTTCTTTTTCTTAAGCAATCTGTTTCGTCCAAGCTTTAGCTGTGTACTGTGTTTCATTTCTCCTCCTAGAATTTCTTCCTGATGACCTTTGGCCAGCCTCTTGTATCTAAATAGAGACTGAAATGCCTATCAGATTGGCTGGGTCTTTAGTTGGGTGAAACATCTGATAGAGTTGTCCTTGTGATATGCCTTTGAGAAGATGTTTTCCTGAAAAAATAATTTTCTTTCCTCTTGTATGAGTGCTGTAAAGTCCAACCACTGATGTGTTAGGTGTAAAGTGGGAACCCAAAATTCAGAATGTAAACATATTTTGTGATTCCTTTCCCTACCCTAAGTTGCACTCATCAATCTAGCAGCTCCGTTTGTTCCTTCTTAGGGAACAAACTTCATTTCCTGCAAAGGTAAATGATTGCCTTCCACTATCTTGGCAAACAGTTTTAGGCCAAAATCGAAGAGGTGTTTATCCAGAGAAATGTCACACTGAAGCTACTGCAAAAATTGTTTCACTGCACAATTTCTCTTATTACCTTGTGTTGGACAGTACTTTTTCTTATTGGTTGCATTAAGTGTTGACATTACCCTTTTTTTTGTTTTCTTTACTTTCTCTCTCTCTCTTTTATATTATTATTTGAAAGACAAAATTATAAAGAGACCGAGAGAGACAAAGATCAAGATCTTCCTTCTGCTCTTTCACTGTCCAGGCTGGCTAGGCTGAACGCAGGAGCCCCCAGATGTTCCTGGGGCTCCCACAGGAGTGCAGGGGCTCTACCACTTGGGCCATCTTTCACTCTTTTCCCAGGCAGCTGGATCAAAATTGGAGCAGCCAAGTCTTGAGCCAGTTCTCATATGAGATGCTGGTTTCTCAGGTGGTGTTCCGGTGTGCCGTGCCATAATGCTGGCTCCAAGT